ATTTTCGCGCTCGACCACCGAGCTTTGAGATGGCTAGCGCTACGCGCTGTTGCTCGGTTTGGTTCATGGCGGATGCGATGGCCATCTCGACCTCTCCCACCCAGGGCAAGAGATTCTCTCCATCTTTTCCCTCGAAGTCCTTACCGCTCAGCATGAGCGGCTTAGGGCGGGAAAATCGTCTGTCACTGACGGTGGCATCATAGACACAAATGATGCAGACATCTTCTGCTGCAGGTGCTCTAGCAGCGCGTTTTTGTAGTTTGAAAACGCCTGTGACGCGCACCGAGTGCCTCGGGGCCTTGCGCAGCAAGATGTTGCACGCCCTCAGGACCAAGCAAGGACATCATCTTTTTAAGCCCGTTCTGTATGCCCTGGTGCAAAGTCAAAAATTGTTCCATCCTCACTGAGAATCAGTCTAAACGACTCAGGTGTAGATTGACTACAAGTACCAAGTGCAGCGGGGCTGCCGTAGCTCGGTGCTTTGAGTAAGCGTAAAGGTAGGTCAAACCTTTCGTTCTATACTTAGAACAAGTACGCTTTAGCGGATCGCAATCCAAGAGTAATTACAATATTAAACCAAGGCCGTCCGTTTAAATTCAGAACTGATTTTATCTATATTTATCTGCGACAAAGCTGCCTAATTTTAATCCCATAAATATGTATAGTAAAATCTAAAAACAAGTATAACTCCTGGTTATCCGCATTCTCGGTTGGGTGTGGTCACACCATGCCCATCTGGTGTGACACACACACCTGTTACCAGGGTATGTGTAACCCCGTTACACATGCTGCTATTACAGAAAGACATCGTAGTAGAGAAAAGGCGTATGGCATATCGAAGGTTTCGCACAGATAGCTCAATGTGAATGAATAATTAGTACTTTTGTGTGCATGTGCGCGACATAAGAAGGCATATCGCATGCAACAGTGCCGTTAGCTAGAATGCCAACTTCGGCATAGTGCTTAGTGTTCATTTGGATGGATAATATTTAGACGCACAGGTAATAATAGTTTTTTTATCAATAACTCGAATGGCGATTCGCGTTTACAGCCCATTGTCTGGAAAGATCTGTTGCACTATATTCGATGTATCCATAGCAGACCATCAGACTTCAATTAAATCAAACTACGTTAATTGCCCTTTGTAGGAGTTACCAGCGCGAAGCGACGAAATTACTGTAGCGACATGCTCTTATGCCAAAGTTTATATGGTCTACCAGATCACCGCGTCATTTTGAAATTGTACCATAAACTTTTTGCTCCAGAGGAGCAGGAGTTGATTCTCATTTCCTTACTGATATCAGCCCAATCGCACCTCGAAGCAAAATGAAGAGTTTATCTTATAAAGGTTGACCCTCGCTGGACAAGCGCATCGCACTAAAGCTGGAGCTTTGACATGAAATAGGATTGTTGTCGCCACGAGATGAAAACTCGGCAGAGAAAGAACGACTGGAGAATTTATATGAAGCCGCCAATGTTTAAGAGAAGACATATCTCTGAAACTTTTATATAGTTAACAAACGGCAGCAACTGATTAAAAAGATTCCTCACAGGGATGGATGAAAGTTCATAAACTATGCGGAGATCGAAGCGAATGCGGGCGCTGGACGAAAAAGTTAAGATACACCGCGGCGTTGGAGATCGCTACTTTGCCGAATGGGTAAGTTCTGAAAGTTTGAAGTTAGACATTGGTCTGATATTGTTTGTGTACTACAATTTTATTAAATGCCCGAAATTTTTAGCTTTGTTTTCTTTTGTGCGTAGATTCATATCCAAGCCTTCAAAGAAATTCTTAGTTTTCATTCCCATAAGCCCTGAGATGTGGATTTTATAAACTTATCCCTGTAAACAAATGCCAACGAAATATGGCATGAAGTGTACGGCAGCAGCTAATTACTGATACAAGAGGTTTTGTCCTTCTCGTCCTGACCGTAATAGGTAATTCATCAGTTTGAAGAGATCAAAAACGGAGCGGAAAGTCGATCCAATTGTGAAGGCATTCTTCAGCAGCACGAACATTTGGCGCGCGTAGGTGCACTTTAATTAAAAAAAAGTACCTCAAGATTTTCTTATAGCACCTTAAGTTCTGATATCTTTGACAGGCAATGAATGCCACGGCTGCCATCTTTTCGAGTCTTGACATAATAGTACAATTGGTAAAGTGCAGGCTTTATTAACCATTGATTGTGATTTAGATGTGATACGCACACGCAGCAATGCAATAGGTAGCCGCCACTCATTAACCAACAATACAGTGTTTCTTCACTTGATTTACACAAAATTGTTAAATTACTCAATCTATTACAGTGGAAAAGTTTCATTGCGTGAACATGAAAAAGTTATTGGACGTCTCCGTATATTGCTTAAGGCTCGCACACCAAGATGTTGCTTGAATTCTGCTCTATCGATCGGTTGCCTACAATAAACTAGTACACTCTTTGCCTTTAGATCAGTAATACCAGAAGTAAAGTAAACTTAAAAAATAAGGACGCTTGAGCCTTGCATACTCGTGCAAGATAGAGAAAGACTCAAAATGTCATGAACAACTGCAAATTGTGGTTGGAAATGGGATAAAATTGCATCCTTTACAGTCTAACGAGCGTAATTTCAGCGCGCTATCAAGCGAAAATATGAGCGCGTGCATTATCGTGATGCATACGATCGATCAATAGCGCATAGGGCTCTGCTGCTTAAAAGGATAAATAAGCTGTAAATGAAAGCTTCTGTCTTAATGAATTGAGCGCTGAGACGAAGAAGGTTGTCATAATGAAGCTTAACTAAACGTGTAAATGTCGCCAACGATGTCAAGGCCAAAAGTATGATAACCGCTAATGCTGCCTTCCTGAGGTCTTCGCTGACATCAACAATGTAATGAAAATGTATCTCAATATGATAGCAATTCGCTTCGCTATGTCATTTGCGAAAAGGTAATACAAAGGCATATAAAATTTACCTAATTAAGCTTACAACAATCTTTTTCATCGCCATGATCAAATTTAAAAAACACTTTTTTCAATGATTAGTCTGATCGAGCAACACTAATTTTGTCTTCATCGACAGGTAAAGCTTATAAGATTTCACCAGGTTATTCTCAGGGTCGTCCGTATGCGCAAGGATTTTCGATAAACGATCCAATTTCATGCCTTGAGACTTCCAGAGCGCGAAAACGTAATTCTTGAAAAGTGTGATAAGCTCGGGTTGCAAGTTGGGTATTTGTCCTAGGTCAATAATTCTCTGAGCCTTGATTACGTTAATGATGAATAGAAGATCTTTCAGAGACTTGGACAGTACTCTTCGAGTAATCTCCTCAGCGTGGACCCCCTTTGGGATTCTCTTTTTCATCATTTTAAAATCTTCGTATACCTTGTTTAGATACTTTTCTGATAGCACCGATCGCTCGATGGACCCTGTGATAATATCCAGCTTCTCAGCATTCTTGAAGATGTTTGAAACATCGTAGTCAAAGGCGGGAAACTGAAAAAGATTCTCCAGGGCCTTCTCCACACTTGATATGTATTCCGAACTGGCGTGTTTTTTAAACGCAAGCTTTAAATGCATACTTGCTAGTTGAACCTGTTCATTGGTCCTTTCTTCATCTTGAAGTGTTTTCTTTTGTGCTTTCGATGTCGCAAGTATTTCCCCCCTCAGGCGGCGGCGTAATCTTTACGCGATAAAAATCACTGTCGTGATCCTTTGCAGATATGACGGATTTGGCTTTCGAAAAGACGTAAATGTTGATAGCTACGACAGCATCAAGAAGTAGCACAGCTATGATGCAGCAAACAATTACGTGCATAGCTTTCAGAATCGTTTAATTGTCGGCGACTAGCGGACGGATCCAGAAATGAGATAAGTGAGCCTTAAGCAAAGTCAATCAATGACGACGTCCGTTCACAGCCGATTCTGCATACTGAAATCATGAGAGAAGAATCTTAGGCAAACGAGACATCCTTCCTTCTCGAATGTGAATTAGATTGCTACATTTGCAGTCTGCACGACAAAATTGTTGGATGCTACGTGCAGACCCCTCCACGTTTTTGCTAACGAAATTTCAAGAGTTCACTCACGCAGCTAGTGAACTAAATCAAGACATTTTGTGCGGGAAACAAGCTAGTGCACTAGGCTCGTACAAAAAAGATGGAATAGATAGTTTACAGTATTTTTAATATAATCATTTAGATACAGTGACGATAGTGGCTGGTAGATACTTTTCCAAATACAGTAGCATATCGCTAAAACGCACGACATTGTATAGATTATTATAGATTATTATAGAAGAAAAACTACGTCTCCGCATAAATTAAAAAAAATTGAGTTTTAAAGTCTCTACATTTAAGCAAGTTTTAAAAGGGATGTTCACACACATAAAAATCAAGAAACTGCTGTAGATCAAAGCATCATAATATTCTAAAGGCAATTATTGATCGTGTGGAGTGGAGATATATAGACTTACATGCCCTGTAGTCCTGTTTGCCCCGGAAGCTTTTTTTCTTTTGATTTTATTATTTGGGGACACTATCAAAAATGTTAAAGGATTGGACCACAAAATGATCACGATGAGACCCCTCCAACAAAATTTTGATATTTTGCCGGTAATTGTGAAGTTAGTGACAGAATTTGCCGTAGTGGAGAAATTATTCGCGTACACCGCCGACAGCCAGAAATTCTTGCAGAAAAAGAACCTCCTTTACTTTTTAAACAAGTATTTAGCCCTCGTAAATGTAGCTGAATGGATCGTTATTCGTCGTGCGGCACCTTGAGGCTGAAAATCTCCAAGCGCGCTGGATTGCTGGTGTTTACTATTTTTTGTAGTAGTGAATTAGGTGGCGACTCGTGCCAATATGACACTGTTAAGCAATCGCGCAACTCTCGCTGAGCAGATATTGCTGTATTTCCAAATAAATGTTCCACCGCTATTTATGCTTTGGGTCTCTTCGATGAGTCACAAACTGTTCAAGCTGCCGAATGAAACCTTTGCATCGAGCAGGATGCGTTTATTAAAGACTACAATGTGCAGTCAATCTGGAACTTATACACTAACAATGCCCCAATTTCTGAACTCGTCGCGCAAAATCTGGCACTCTTTGGCGTGAACACAGTTGAGGCAATACTGGACCTAAGTATTGTCGTGAGATGAGTGCGGGATCATGAACTGACAGACTGAGGACTTCATACCCTGAGCATGCCGCCGACATTGCCGCATGTATTTGCGCAGCTTTGTGAGCGTGGCTTTACATCCTTCTTGGAGACGTTTGGCTCAAAAACGCTCACCCCTTTTCAAGGAGAATGAATGGTAAGTTCAGAGTTAATGTCGTATTGCCAAACGCGAGCCTGTTCTTCATGCTGCAAAAGGAATATGCCACACCGACATATCATTCGTAGCATTTTTTTTAAAATCTGGAGTACTTTACGAGTCGATTTGCCACGATCTTTCTGACTTTACCTTGTTATTGATGGTAACATTAGCACATTGTCACTTCGTCAATCAATACTCACAATTTGATCGACTACGCAGTCGAATTTTTAGTATGAGTGTAAAGATTAGATAATTATTTCACTTATGATGGGTCAGATAAGTTTAGTTTGTATTTAGCTACGACGACTGGAAATACCAATCAACAAAGGTCAAACTCTTACATCTGTCCCCCTAGTATTAATTACATTGCAGTCCTTGACCGAAACAATGCAATATCTCGCAAGATATATTGTTGAGCGTTATCGTGTCGTACCTACTCTATGACTATAGTGCACTTAAACAAGAATTTCGAAAGGTTGTGGAATCAGGCAGAGGATTGATTTTTAACGGATCCAGATAATCCTCATACAAGGATGACGTCTTTAGTCCAAAGCCGCCCTCTGGCATTCGACCCGATCGTGGAGTTCCAGACAAATTTGATCGTGAAATGGCTCAAAGCATACAGATATTCGACAGTGGCCACTGTCGCAAAAACAAAATAAGTACATTGATGAGTTCTTTGCTCCCAAAGCTGCTGTTTTGTTGAGAGAGAGCTACTCCCCTCAACGTGCTGACGTTTAGTGTGCGCAATCCAAATGGTAAATGGTGTATCATTCTCGCCTACAACAAGTTGAATGCACAGACAATTTTCACTCACCCGCCGATTTCACGAAAAGATATCCTAATCCACCGTACGTTCATCTGTACACAGTTAGGTGTACTTGATTTAATGATGAATATTACTTGAAGAGGGAGGAAGACGTCCATTTAATAGCTCTTAGTACACCGCCCGAAATGTGATGGAGAGGCTTGAGATGCCACAAGGACTAGCTAGTACCCCCAGCAAAGCTCAATCGATTAGTCTCCCATCTGTTTCATTACTGCGACGCCTCACACAAACATATTTTGACGATATTTTCGTTGATTCGAAGGGCGAAGGTGGCAGATCTGCCGTAACAATGCACTGAGAGCACCTCCGTGCAGTTCTAGAATGTATTCATGGACATTCATTTCATGCGAATTTTAAAAGTTTATTTTCAGTGCAAGCAAAGTACCGCTCCTCGCGTGTTATGTTGGTAATTGTGGTGTTCGTGCAGACCTTGAATACTTCAAAGCGGTCAACGCTACGGAATTAAAAGGATTTCAAGAAAGGATTGATTTGTCCAATTACCTGCATCGCTCCTCGTGTAACTATGAAGAAATAGTGTGCCCATTAAAACTTACTGAAGGAAGACGTAGTATCATCCACTAATGAAGAAGCATACCCTCAAATTAAGAAAGGACTGATGGAAGCACCATTCTTTGCCAAACCAAATGATATACAGTGTATAACGTGGTGTGTGACGCGTCTGAGTTGGCAATCGATAATGCTCCGAAAGGACTCGAGCAGATACAATCGTGTCGTATCATTTCAATCACGACAGTCGAAGCCAGCAGAAAAGAATTCCCCTGTCCACGACAAGGGGGCTGGCAACGAAGTGTGCTCTGGTGGATATTCGTGTTCACTTCACAGGTTCAGCTCTGATTGACATCTACACGGATCACGCAAGCTTGCGAAATAAACTTTAGTTTTTTACTTCTCACAGCGGAAAGCTCACTAGCTGTCATTATTCCCAAAATACAACTCCCTCGGTCGTGTACGAACCGTTTAATCTGAACGTGCCGGATAGTCCATTGTCACGTCGTCCGCATTATGAGCTAGCCCATATTAGCTACATCGAAAATGATGTATTTGATATAATACGTAGAGCGTAAGCTGAGAATGAATCGTGTGATTTGAACATCACTCTCATCAAGAGATATGGAGCTACACGACAAGTGTCTTGGCCGCATGAAATCATGGATGCATCGTTTTGCATCGGAGGATGGTCTTTTTCACCATGTAGTTGAAGGCCATGGGTGTGGTTTCCCACAATGATGATTTGAAGTACATGATCATGTTTGTCACAATGAGATGCTCGTCCTCGTCGACAGACTCAGCAAGTAGCCCGCATCGCTCCATGTAGCGATTCGCTTGATTCCAAAGATTCGGCTAGATTGTTCATTGACTACGTTTTTCGCAATAAAGGATGGTCAGACACCATCATTTTGGATTGTGATACACGAGTCATGAGAGGTTTGTGGAAAGAGTTGTTTCGATTTCTTGACACTCGCTAGGATATGTCAACCGCGGTACACCCGGAGACCAATAGGCGAACTGGACGTGCCAACCGAGTGGTCGGTGATGTGTTAAGAAGGTTCTGTGCGTAAAGTGCCGTAGAATGGAGTTCGTTGTTACCATTGGTCCGGATTGCTATGGAAAATTTGGTTCTTTCATCTATTGGGTTTAAGCTGGTTTTAGGAATGGCTTGCAACACCCGCAAGTCCGCTTTGTGCGATGGGTGGTGTCTCCAATGTAGCTCGGCAAATGATTGCCTCCCAAATTGATACAATCAATGCTGCAAATGTAAAGGCCTAGTGCATGCACGCCATTGACCTATATATCATATGTCACCTGAATTTGATCACACGTGTGCGACGTGCAATGCCTAATGCCCAGGATTCACAACAGAATACGCGAATAGACGAGGTTTTCAAGGAAATATTGTATTTAGTGTTGGAGATTAAGAACTTGGCAGCACTAGGAGCTTATCAGCCGATGTGGTCTCGAGCTTGAAAAGTTGAAAGCTTTCAACTCGCTTTATCGGTTCATTCCAAAAGTGTCATACCATGAAAATGCATCCTTTATTGACCTACCAAGCTAGCTAAAACCACATCCAACGTTCTCCGTACGACTTCTCGAATCCTATTTTCACAATGACGCGACCTTTTACCTGGACGTAACGCAGGGATATATGAAAATGGTTTCAAAGCCACCGCTTCAGCACGAGATTGAAAAGTCGAACCCCTGGTGTCGTCGCCTCAGCATCATCGTCGAAATAATTGGGATAATCGTGAACTTTAATACCAACCGAACGGTCGCGAGAGTTGGAACGTCGGGGAGAAACTGATGGGTGCTGATCGCGTTAGCGATTACAGTGGGAAAAATATATACCGATGTCGATTGGCAGAAGGCTACGAATTATCAGCGGCAGCAGCTGCAGCAATAGGAAGAACCTGCAGA